AATTCCTAAGCAACACCTGAAGTTTGGCAGGCAGAAGTCAGTCCTCACCTTCTCTATAAAACAGCCTGGAGTGAAACATGTCTTGGGTCAGTGAGGGAGATGGCTGGAAAGGGTGCTTCCCTCCACCCCAGCCAGGTGCCAGGGCCACCAGGACCCAGCACTGCCAGCAGAGACACGGTCATGCTTGGAGAGGTAATCTCCTCCCAAGGTAAGGAGATTTTCATTTTAATTTTGCACCGGTCGCTTTACACAGGAAATGTCAGCTGAATGAGGGGAGTTAATATAATCAGATACAGCTTAGCACAGCAACGAATACATCCAGCAGAGAAAATAAAGATAGGCAGGGATAATTTCACTAGACCTCCCTCACTTCCTATTGCTCCTTTCCTTTCTCCTCCTGAAAAATTACATGTATTTTTAACATGTGAAACAGGCACATTTCCCTGCCTCAAAACAGCAGGTTAACACTGATGGACAGAAAAGCCATATGGGAACCTACAAAGGACTCATCTCCTTCCAGCTCTACGTTTTCTATACTGCCCTCATCCTGATGGTACACGAATGCCTGTGTCAGACACGCTGTGCCCCTCACAGGAGTGCCACCTTTCTTCACCGCCGCAGGTGAAGCAGAACCAAATTAAACTTTCAGTCAAAAGAACTTTTGATCAAACAAAAACCGAACCACGGCTGAAGCTAAAGAAAGTACACACTGCCAACACCACCAGGACTGTCTATTTTGGGTAAGCTTTCCAGGACAACAAAATAATTCAGTCTCAGGTGGACGTAACATCTCAGGCTTTTTTGTTTGCTTGGTTTGGGGTTTGTTTGTTTGTTTATTTGGGGGGGGGGGGTTGGTTTTTTGTTATTTTTGGGTTGGGTTGGGTTTTTTTTACCTTCTTCCCCTCCTTCCCCCTCTCTTCAGCTATTTTTGGGGCTTTTACTTTACTGGAGTTAGACGATGGTGGCTGAGACCCTGAACTTGGCTATTTCCATAAACAAAACAACTAGCTTGACATAAAACCTCTCCGAGATGAATCACATGTCGGCAGCGTGAGGACCAGCAGTAGGCACTGACCCTACCACCTTTGTTTAGTGCAGCTCTCGGAGGCTTCTCAAGGCAAGATGCTCCCACAGTTCAGACTGACTCCACTACATTATCCTTTTGTCCTGACGGTCTACTGAAAGCTGCTAAAAAAAAAAAACAAAAACACCAAAAAACTTGTGGGTGGCTTAAAGAGTTGGTCTATGGACACTGCCCTGTCGCTCTTTTTACTTTCTGGAGCCTGGCTTTTTTTGCAGCACCACGTCACCATCTCTGGATCCTTTTCAGAGCAGGAAACGCAGCGAGTTACACGCTTAACCATTTATAAGTCACAAGAAAATGATCAAAAGTACTAAACATCATACTGCTTGAAACTCCACAGGGGTCTACGTTCTACCCTGGTGGGGTCTAACGCGAACTATCGTTGGGTTTTCCGTGTACCCACAGACACACACACACAGCCTTCAAGCAGCCTGACGCATTAGCCGTAACTAGCAGTGAGGATGTGGTAGCGGCTGCCCTCCAGATCAGGCCAAACAAGTGGGAAGCCCCTTTTTGCGTTTCAAGTTGTTAGTTATTCTCAGACTTCTTTCCAAGAACTTAAATTTCAAATACAGTTCTGAGCCTTCACATTTCCAGGAAAAAATGATAGGAAAAAATAGAATAAAACATGATGTTATAAGAGAGACATCACCATTTTTCAGAAGGAAACCCCTCCCTGACAGATGCCTCCACTATCCAACGATTGGGAGAAGTCAGTATCTGCACTTAAGCTTGCCCTGGATTATGTCTATTCTTGGAAAATCCAAAGGTGACCACAGATGGGACTAACCAGTCAAGAAAAGCCCCAAGAGCCACCTTTGATCTTCCTGTTCTGTAGGCCCACACATCCTCAATAACGACAGAGGAAAGAGAAGTAAACCATTTCCAACATTTCCCATTTTCCTCAGAAAGCAGTAGCGACACAAACATTTGAGTTCTCCATCTCTCGTCTTTGAGACCTTGTTAGCAACATGCCTTAGTAGCTTAGCCACCAGCATGAGTCCGAACCACATTTTGGATTTTTGCTCATGCCCACCATCCCTGCTCAACCCTGCTCTATACAGCCAAGCCTGACATGCTTGCGTGTGGATACAAACTGGCATGCTGGTCAGTAAAAGCCCTCTAGTTTCTTGATCTCAATACAACTCTCTCTCCAGAATCGGCTGTATCACAGGCAATTAAAGCCAATTTCTAATGTCCTTTTCACCCCTATTGCTGCCTAAGAGCCATTGCCTTGGACCTGCAAAATAGTCCTCCACATCTCCCTAGCACACCTTTGCACTCTCCCTGTTCTCTGGTTACAAATAGAAAGCTCTTCTCAAATTAACTTGAAAAAGTAACCTTCATGTCTCCCTGTCAAAACACAGTTGAGCATCTCCCTAGGGGAGAAAGTGTAAACGATCTGTTGACATTTTACACATGGATAAATGTGAGAGCAGTTCCCAGACCCCAGAGTTAACACCTGGGCAGAGTAAAACATGCATTGCTACTTGACAGATGAAGAACTGAAAGTCGCAGCGATGCTGTGTGGCCTGCCCAGCTTTACATGGAAAGGGAACTTCACTGGAAAAGTGAATTCTGGTCCTCTGCCCTGCTGCAGTGCCAGGGTGTGATACTCCTCATCTTCTCCATCACTCCAAGACCATACATTTCCTTAGGAGCCAAAGCCAGACAGGCTTTCTGCTCATGTCTCCCTCCTGCAAGCAGGATTACGCCTTGCCCATGGTCCCTGGGAGTAAGAGGAAGGATGTCTGCAAACCCTGCCACCGCTTCCACGCCACGGGGCTGGGGGTGCTGCTGCAGAGGACACCATCTCCCTGCAAACCCTTGCTGGGCCCTCAGGTGTGGCTCAGCTGGTTACAGACTGGATTTGGCTCAAACGCTTTAAAAGGCCACAGCTATCCTGCCAGGAGCAGAACGCTCCTGGGGTGTAAACAACCCAAAGAAACCCAAAAGCTTCCCCAGCTCCTCTGATGCAGCAGCTGCCCAGGCCCCAGCACACATCAGGCTGCTGGCTTAGCAGGAGCGAGACAGCTCCCCAGAAGCTTCCAAGCAAAGCACAAGCTTGCATTCAAACCTGCATTTGAACAACAATGCAGGGGCTCCGACAGGCCTGGGCACCCAGCACAAGGTGTGAGCTAGGGGAACTGCTCGGCAGGAGGGCAGAGCTCCCCCGTAACCCTTGAAGCAAGCACCCCTCCAGCTTGCACCCTCCTCGCATCCAAAGCGGAGCACGGCAGGGTGGGCTGCCCATGCCGCAGCCCCCAGCACAGCCTTTGGGCCAAGCAATCAGTTTCTGGGCCAGAACAAGAGAAAGCATTAAAAATCCAGCTCTCCCAGGCTGCAGGGAACAGATAGCGGAGCAGATCCTGCCTCGATTCTTGGCTTCAGTACAGAAGACACCCCCCAACAAATGCAGTTTGAGGCCACAGCTAAAACAAATAAGAACCATGGTGTAGGTCTGAAGAAAATAACTTTTTTTTGAGCCCCATCCAGATTTCCTGGGTTCCTCCAGCAGAGCTCACATTGACACTCATAGCTGGTATCACAGTAAACAACAGGGAAATTAAAAACATCACACTGTAAAAGAGAGTTATAGAAAAAAAAAAAAAAAATCCACCCAGATGCTTTTTCAGGGCTGCTGTCGCACTAAAAAACTTCAAGTTTCCCATGCAAAGTGAACTTGAGGAAACAGAAATGCACATGAAGTAGATGGGAATCCTTATGGAACAAAAATCACCCAGATGTTTTAAATATGTTCTATTTTAAGCATGCTCTACATGCTCCTTAGCTTGCCCTTCAAGAGGCACCCAGGTGAAAAGTACAAGTGACAAAAACAATCCATTTGAAGGACAACTGCAGATAAATAAACCAGATCAAGCACGAATCGGCTCCCTGGGTCTGAGATCAGACCAGCAGCAGAGCGGAGGGCGCACACAGCGTGACCCGTTACCAACGGCCCCTTCCAGATTCCCCCCATCACCCAAGACATCTCCAGCGCACAACAGCGCGTGGCCCGCGTGAAGAATGCCATCCCTTATATACTGCTTGGTAACTGATGGCAAGAGCATACACCAGAGCCCAGCTCTTAATGGAAACAAGCCAAAATAATTCCCTTACCTTCCGTGAAGCTGCCTGTAAGAGTTATGACGACAAACACTTTGCCTTCTGGCTCCAAATCCACCTGAAAAAGTAAAGGAAACATTAGAAGATTGTTTTTCAAGGCAAAGACTCTTCTCGGGATTTTGCATGATAAATCTCGCCAGTATTTTATAATATTTGAAGCTATATATTGTCATGCACACCCTTAATTTTACAAAAAATCAAGCATCCATGGCTCAAATTATTCATAATTCGGGGCTCCATAAAAAATAAGGAACCTGATTCCTTCTTTTTCCTAGAAGAGCTGAACAATCTCAACCTTGATAGAGGAAATACAAATTAAAGAAAAAAAAATATGGTTAATAGTGTTCCAATTTGTCAGATAAACGAAGCAGGAGTAACATTAAATGCACGCAACTCTCTGAAAAGATCCGTGCATATCTGTTTGGTGAATTATATGGATATGGAATTATATGGATATTTCCTCCTTGTAATACCTTATCCCATTGAAATTGTTTCAGTCTCTCAAAATGCCATCAGTGCTGAGGTAAACGCTGATTTCTTACATAAATCACCTTTTGGCCTTAAACCATAGAAAACAGGAAACTGTTAGCGCTGTTACCTAAGGACTTGTTGTTTAATCTAAATTAGATAGAAATACAGAATATAATTTTAGGGATCAGAGATTCAATCCCAGTGTCGGTCAGCCTGTCCTTGAAAGAAGGTATTTATTTTTTGGTAAGTAGATTTTTCATTTTTAGTTACATTTTTAATTAAAGGTCTTGCTTTTGGTTTTTTGGTTCACCAGCTAGTTTTTAGCAAAAATCACAGCTAAGGATCCCTGAAGTTTGAGTCAGGCTGTCGCACAGAAATCTCACCTTAAAAACAAGAAAAACCCAACAAGGCACCCCCCCAAAAACCCCCAAATTACAAGGTTAAAATTAGCAGAGAAGAGCTTCGCGCCTTGTGGGTATCGATAATCTGTGCAGAACAGCAATTCTGAAAATAGAGCTCTGCAGGAATGACTGAACACGATCATTCAAACCCTCTCTGCTCTCGTACAGCCACCTTCCCTTGCTCTGGCAGAAACAGAAGCAAGTCTTCTACGTCAGCAGCACCGAGTTTCATCACGGAGGTACCCAGAATTTAATACACCTTGGTGTGCACACTGTGGAATAGAAAAATATTTCCCGCTCCTGCAAGAAAGGATGATGAGCCCAGGCTCCCTCTTTTTTCTCGGCTAACACACGATGTACCCTGCCAACACTCTGATTCTTCTCCAGTGTTAACACATATCACATCATTCAAATAAACCTCTAACCATAAGCCTATGCTCCCAGAGCAACGGCGTATGGACCACCACTAATCCAGACAACATTTGCCCACAGTTTGCAAAACCCTGCCATGCACCAACTGGTCCTTTTAAGGGAATAACATTAAGATACAGGTAAAAGAGAAAGTTGAACTCTATATAACTAGCAGAGGAGCCAAACAGCCATGCTACAAACGAACAGAAAGTATCTGCACAGCTGTAAGTGGGGGAAGGTGTCCAAGCCAGACTGACTCTGCAGGATTAAGGTATAGCAGGGCTTTCTGCCGGCACCTCCACTCCTAGGGATGCTAACTGCAGCTTCACTAATGCAAGCCGAGAGAAAACAATCTTCTGGGGTAAGGGGGGAGCAGAGACAGCACACACCATCACCATACATTTCCCTAGCCTACAATTTGTTGCAGAGTAGAGAAATCTTTTTTTAAACTATTGGGAATTTATTAGGATAAGCAGAGCAAATATTTTCAGAGAAAGGATGAGAGAGCATCCTATTCACACGACTCCAGCTACAGTCCAGAAGTGACACATCTCCATCAGTGGGATACTAAACAGGGAAGCTGGAACTGCCTGGGAAAATCCTGTCAAAATGTTGATTTCATGGACACTATATTATCCACTGGAAAAAAAAAAAAAATCTCACAGGGGAAAGTTAAGTGAAATATTTAGCTTTAACTCAACATCAATTTTCATGTTTGCTTGGGCTGCTTACTACACTGGCTTTAGGAAGGTGTGTTTGAACAGCCCTTTCTCTCCATTAATATGGAAGACATTCCCCAAATAAACTTCAACTCCAGCGATATCATGCATCACTTTTGCCTAAATTTCAGTTCACTGGAGAGGTACGCAGCTTAATAAAGACACGTTTCTTTCAAAAATATATAATATCTATAATATATATACACACATATACAGTCACCCAAATTGATTTATGGGATATCAAGAATTCAGATTTTATGGGAAAATCCTTACTTACTTAGGTTTCCAAAATCATTCTTCAGTGCTTATCATTTTTCTGCCAGTCTCCATACACAGCAATACGCGAGACTCCTGCTTTCACATTCACAAAGAGCATCCTTCCTCCCTTTTTCTGAGATACGTGGTCTCCGGTGGGATACAGAGCAAATCCTGCGCTCCTTGTTTAGTCTTAAAAGCAAAAGCTTGTCAAGACACAAGCAGGTGGGCTGAGACCAGGAGATGGAACAAAAGCATCATCCACCTTTGACACAGGGCACGAGCAAAAATTGGTCCAAACTCTGCGACACACCTTGCTCTCCATCACTGCAAACAGGATTCCTCTGCCCAGGGTAGCACAGACTTACAAAACAGAAACAAAATAATTCTGAAAGTGGTAGGAGGAGGTTTATGAGAGTTATAAAACAATCTCTCCCCTCTCCAGACTCCAAGATTAAAGACCAGTCAAATCCCCTACACCAACTAAGCATATTACGGCACAGTTCAAGAGCGCTCAATAAAGAGGATCTAGCTACACTCAGGATCTTCTCACGCCACATGTTAGCAGGATCTACTGAAAAATTACAGCTGAAAGGCTCCAAAATGAGGACAGAGGCCCCAGCATGCCAGGAGCTGCTGAA